AGGGGTGTTTGTTTAAGTCACAGATTATGCATCTTTTCAGCCCCAAAACAATTATATGAGAAAAATACACACTATATGCTTTCTGGATCCTTTGACTTATTTTATAAGAATTGCAATCAATGGTCAATGAATGTTCCTGTGCCTCTTTTATCATAAAAATTCAAGCTCTTTACTTCATGTTTCATTGAATGTACTGTAGAAAATCTGCTAAAGCATATGAAACACAACTTAACACCCATCATAAGCAGCTGAGCAAACCCTATTGGGCACCACTTCAGTTAAGTTATTGACACGTCTTTTCAATGGCAGAACGAGTTCATTTACACTCTGTTTGCAGTAAATTGCTTTTTATTGCCCAGACTCGTTTTGTTCTAGACATTTTGCTGCTTATTTTTCAGCCCTGCTGTCAGTCACTGGCTTGAACTACGTCTTGTCCCTGATTGCTGTTGTTCTGTTCTACGTCTTCTACACTCACCCCGAGGACTGTGCGCTGAACAAGTTCTTCATCAGCTTCAACATGCTTCTCTGCATTGGGGCCTCTGTTGTGTCTGTCCTGCCCAAAGTACAGGCAAGTTCAGCTTCCTTCCCCAAGAGATGAGCGTTCCTGCTGTTCTAGTTTCTAGTTCGTACAAAATCAGTTTTTTTTTTTATTTCCCAAAGCCTTTTCTGTCGTCTTTAGACGAATATGTGCCTGTATGAAAATAAGAACATATTAACTTCACTACATGGATTAAAATGAATTATAATCATATATCTCTGTCCCTATACCAGTTATATACAGAGATTGTATTTTTAAAATGCCTTCAATCAACTTTTTACAGTGATTAGAAACTGAGGCTTGTATTTTACTTCAAATAACAGCCTATATAAATATTGATATCTAGAAATGCCAGTAACTGGTATTTTCTATATATATTTTTAGCAATAACAATTAATTAATTAATCAAAATCTGGTTTGACACAAGGACAGTTTTATTTATTTTTTTTATCTAACCAGTCCTGACTATACTGGCTTCAGGCTGGTCACATACACTGGGATTAACATAATGTCTTGAGAACAGTCCTGTGTGTTTCCTGTCTGAAGTCGCACAAATGCATTGAGAGGTTATGTTCCTGGTTAGATCCACCAAATTTGCAATTCTTAATCACTCGAGAAAACGTCAGTCCCATCGTACCAGGGTAGGAATGCATTTCAGAAGTCGAAGAAGCCGTCGGTTCGAAGCGTATGTCAAATCCGTTTTGAAGAGATTAGTTTCTAAATGTATTAGACTCCGGGCGCCGAGTCTGACAGAGGAAATGTCTTGTGACTGCCTGGGCGTGCAGTCAATACATTAACACAAAGGAAACCAGCTGACCAAGCAGCAGAACACAAACAATAGAGAGGACCGGAGGGCTTTTAAAAAAATGGACTGCCCGCCAGAATGCTATTAAGATGCTACATTGTTGAAAACGATCTTGGAGAGTTAAAGAAATACATTTTCCCAGCCTTAGGGCCTGTTGGCAGATTGCTAGAAGATGCGTCACTTGTGTGTGGGCCTCTCAGTACTCTTTCATGTCTTGGCTGCCTTCTGAGCTCTGCTGTGGCCCTGATTTCCAAGAGCAGTGTCTTTACAGCAGCTAATCTATAGCATTTGAGTATTGTTCAGGGCTGTGTCTCTACAGATTATTGTTTGAGTGGCTTCTGTTGGCTTTTATTTCCTCCACTGAGCCTTAATCTGATGTACAAATTCCCTCTGCGCATCTCAAGGAAGCCCAGCCTCAGTCCGGCCTGCTGCAGTCCTCCATCATAACCCTCTACATGATGTACCTCACCTGGTCAGCCATGACAAACGAGCCAGGTACGATCTTCTTCCGTCCCATGCCGAAGGGGGGGTTGGTACTCTAGATTACTTAACACTACTGAAAGCGAGTTAAGAGCCGACTGCAAGAGCCATGTAGGTTTGGGAAGTCCTTTGACTTTGTGAACAAACATGGAGTAAGAGAAAACAATCAACCCAAATCACATTTTCTGTATGTGTGTGAATAAAAGTTTCAATTAGTCTAGTTAAACGTGGCCTTTTTAAATGTGTTCAGAAGTAAGCCAATTTGGAAGATCAGTCAAAGATTTTTCTTACAGAGAGTCTAAACAACATCCTGGGTTTCCAAACAGACTATACTGGATGCTGTTGCCAAGTTTTTTGTCCAGGTGTATCATACCTAGTCAGAGTAGTATAACTTCATCAATGCCTTCCTTTCTATGCCTGCTTTAATGTTCACGTCTTGAACTTTAAGTTAAAGACCCACTTGAGCTGTAACGTAAGGGGGAAGATCTTTTTTGTTTGCAATTGTGTGCCCTACCAGGTGACAGGAGGTGAGTGTTTAGGGAAGAAGACCCCTCCAACCTCTTGATGTCTAATTCCTCTTTCCTGTCACCCCTAGATCGCAAATGCAACCCTAGCATTTTAGAGAAGATCACAGCCTCGACGTTGGCTCCCCTGAATCAGACCCAGGTGATCCCTACCGAGGTTGTGGTCGAACCTAACCCCTCCCTGCAGAGGTGGGACACGCAGAGCATTGTGGGATTGGCCATCTTCATCCTTTGCATCCTGTACTCCAGGTTGGTATCTGCACACATGCGTC